GATATGTTTTTTAGTTAATTAACAAAGAAAAAACAGTGTGTGAAAGTAAACCAAAATTTAAGTGGTATGCTTGACATATTCAAAGGGGTACCAAAAGGTTCCATCCTTGGACCCATCCTTGGACCCATCCTATTTAAAATGTTTATAAATGATTTGTTCTTTATATAATTTTGCTGATGACAATACTTTGTCAAAGTCTGGAAATTCCTTACAAGATGTCATTTCTGCTCTTGAGGAAGACAGAAATTATTGAATACAGCGGTTTTCTTCAATTAAAATGCAGGCCAACCAAGAGAAAAGCCAAGCTATTTCTTTTGCCAAAACACACATGATAACAAGATTGTGTTTGATTTGGATGGTATTTCTATATCATGTAATGATGAGGTAAAACTACTTGGAGTTACAATTGATTTCAAATTAAACTTCAATTTACATATTTCAAATATTTTTAAAAAGGCTGCAAGGCAATTAAATGTTTTGAAAGGAATTGGGGAAACACCTAAACAAACTGAGTAACCTTAAAATTTATTACTCATTTGTTGTGTCAAATTTTAGTTACTGCCCTTTGACTTGTCATTTCAGTGGGGAACAAAATACAATGAAAATAGAAAGACTACAAGAGCGATCGCTTTGTTTCATTTATGAAGACCATCAGAAGTCGTACGAAACACTCCTGTAGATTTCAAAACTTCCATCGCTAGTAGAATACGCTCAATTGCCTTGGATACCTTTAAAATGATTAATAAAAAATGATCCTGTATTTATTCAAGATCTAGTTGTTATAAAAAACAATTCATGCAATTTCAGGTATGTGAACACTGCTGAGGGACATAGATTAAGAACCTCGAGTTATGGTAAAAGATCTTTTAGATTTGAGGCAGCACAAGTATGGAATTACCTTCCAAATGAGGCTAGAACTATGATCTCTTTTGAACAATTTAGGAATTATATAAATTCCTGGTGTGGAGGTCAAAAATGCAACAGCAGTTCATGCCGTTTCCATCCAGTGCTGCCTCATAGCTGAAATTTCTTTCTTTTCTTTTTTTTTTTCTTGGCTTTTGTTCTGCTTTTTTTCTGCATTATTATATAGCTGCTATTAAATGACCGTGCTTAATTTATTTATTTATTTATGCTTTTGAGTTTGTTAGTAGTTTATGATATTTCAGTGATCGCTGGTTTCCTCATTCAATGCACATAGACATGTTTGCCGCATAACCATTGACCCTGGAGATTCAATAATCAATATTAGTTTGCTTTCATTATATTTGCATTTTTTTTTTAAATTTTATTTATTAGTATTTACATGAAGCTGCATGATTTTAATATGATAGTCGGTTAAAGAGCTCATCAGCGATCATGTTTTATCTGTTATTATGTATATATGTATTACTCAAATCTATGGTGGGTTCCAGATCTATGGCAAATTCCTAATCTATGGTAAATAAGACGTCACAAACGCCAAACAAATCATACATCTATGGCAGTTTTTTTGTTTTTTCCAAATCTATGGCAGATTTTGATATTACGTAATTTTCCGATACAATTAAAAAACGTCACGTAACGTCCAAACCGCCGCTAACGATGACGGTTTTGTTATATAGAAGAATATTAAAGGCCAGTTTTCAAGGACTCTAATTCATAAATTAAATTATATTTCAGAATCCGAGTTTACGTTAACGGAAATCCCTGCAAATGAGAAAATGAAATCATCGGATTCGGATGAAATAAGAATATTAGCGAACAAACCCATAGTCATTCGTAGCAGCAAAATCGCTGGTGCAGGCAATTTCACACAAACGAATATGTTTTTAGTGCTTTCAGTGTTTATGTTTTGTGTTTGTTTTCTCTTGCTTGTTTTCTTGTTCTTATGTTCCTCGTGTTGTCCCTTAAAATTACGAATTTTTACTGTGCATTTTGGTTTGCATTTTGCTTTTCTTTCATAATTTTTCGTTGTGATATGCTGTGTTCTTGTTATTTTTTTTTATCCCTATGGTCTCTTTAATTTTTCTTTTACATGTAACATAACCTATAGCATTTTGTCAACTATATAACAGTGACTACCTGTACTATTGTAGCAAATAATCTTTCTTGAGATTTAGAAAAAAAAAAAATCTGTCACAGATTTCTAATAAAACTGTACTGTTGGAGAAAGAAGGATTATTTTAAGAAAGCCACGTGTTTGAGGCAAGTCATTGTTCATTACAGGACTTCGACTTAAAATCGTCATCCGTTAACAAAAGATTTATTAACGCTCATATAAATACTTGGTAAATGTCAAGCTGCTTTTTAGGTTGTTAAAGGACTTGGTTAAATGAAGGGTCAAACAGGTACCATGCACAGAGTAGGAAATGCTTATTTTTCCGGGGCACACCATTTCACCCCTTAAGTCTGTGTTCATTTCACAAATGCTTATGGGTATGCTTCCTAGTTGTACTCCTAATCCGTTTTTCTTATACTGGCTTTTACTTAAAAGCAGCTTTTTCGCTACCTTTGGACATTTCGACTTGTTTAAGGCAACTTGACAATCATTGATCAGATATGTACTGACTGGTCCTTCATTTGCAGAAAATCTGCCATAGATTTGAAAACTAGAAATTCGCCATAGAATAGGAAAATAAAAAATTGCCATAGATTAGGATTCTTAACAATCTGCCATAGATTGGGTAATGGCATGACGTCATATTTACCATAGATTAGGAATCTGCCATAGATCTGGAACCCACCTTAGATTTGAGTCCTACATATATATGCCGACTTTAAATAAAATTTACTTACTAACTTATCACTTATGGTTTGCCGGTTACAAATACATATCACTCATATCAAATGCATAAGGGGAAATAACTCTCATATGGAGTCTCCGGATTTCTAAGGTCAAAATTATTCTCCATATCCTTAAGATATAACGAGCAATTTGGTAAAATACATTTGTTTTAATCTTTTACGGTTGCGAAGGAGTAGTCAGAACAAGAAAAACAGTGTTCGGGGAGATAACTTTTACAAAGTAAATGGTTCGGTTAAACATTGTCAGATTTAAAAGCGTATAAACTGTTCGATATCATATACCAAATATCTAAGCGACAACTTTTGAAACAACAATACTGCGCAAGAAAAAAAAAAATGGCGGAATAAAAGAAAAATTAAAAACCAATTGTTAGAGAATAATTTAAGGTCTTTCCACCCCAAAAAAAACCAAATCTAGACAGGAAAATAGTCAATCAACTATATATCATGTAATTAAGATGACAAATAATGTCAGTACCTAAATTCTATACTTCAAGACCATCATGTATTATTTGTGAAGTTGATACGAAATATTTATCAACAAGGTCTTGGTATCTTCCGATGATTCTCTTTAGAAAAGGGACGAGGCGTTTTTTTACATAACCCTAGTTCATCAACTTGCTGCTGACGTTTAATAAAGTCTGAGGTAATCTAAAAATATCATAAAATCTAATCTAATCAGGTTTAAAAAGCATTTGATTATACACCATATAATGTATTATAATTTTGATTCTAAAATAGAACCTTTCTTATAAGAATTAAATTTTATGATATTAATTAGCAGTAATTCAACAGGTGTGAAAATTATGTAATATAAATGAAATTTCAAGATGTAAAACATTAAATCACCTAGGTCATATAGTTTTGTCATCAGACTAACATATTTCATTTCCTGGAAAGCAACAACAATTTAGGTCAAACATTCGATAAATAGAACACTTTGAAATATATATATCATTGGTTAATGGGTTAAATCTTTTTATTTGAAAAGAAATTTAGCAAAATTGCTTGATTTTAATCAGACTCGGTCAATCATATGCGGTTCTTCGGGTTTAAAAAACAGTTGATTATTAAGCATGGAATGTATTATAATCGGCATCATGATGAATTTAATTAACTGAGTAAATATTTTTTTGCAATAATACTACAACTACAGTCATCAAGGATTCCCGTTTTCAGACTTTATTCAAATAATTATTGGTTGTATATACATGCCTTCATGAATGACAAATCCTTGCTTTAATGTATCTGTGCAATTGGAATACAAAATAAACCTAAACTAAGAAAAAGTTATAATCACAAAAATACTGAACTCCGAGAAAAATTCAAAAAGGAAAGTCCCTAATCAAATGGCAAAATGAAAAGCTCAAACACATCAAACGAATGGATAACAACTGTCATATTCCTGACTTGGTACAGGCTTTTTCTTATGTAGAAAATGGTGGATTGAACCTGGTTTTAAAGCTAGCTAAACCTCTCACTTGTATAACAGTCGCATCAAATTCCATTGTATTGACAACGTTGCGTGAACAAAACAAACAGACACAATAGGTAAAAATGTCAAAAATAGGGGTACAGCAGTCAACATGTGTTATCATCTTAATCACTATAAAAACAAACAAATGTAAAAAAGAAGCACAAAAAGGCATACATCAAATTTAACATCCTCATTTTGCTTTTTTATTATACGATTTTATTTATCTATGTAAAATCCACCCATAATGGATGGAAGGTTTTAGTACTGGCGTAGAATCGCGCGTTTGACGGCACACAGGTAGATATAAAATAATGTTGTCATTCAAAGTATGACGGGATACATAAGTACGGAGTCACGTCAAATGGATATCACAAAAAAAAAGACTTAACAGTAAAAGTAATATAAATAAAAAATAAATTTTTGTCGTTCAAAGTATGACGGGATACATAAGTACAGAGTCACGTCATATGGATATCACAAAAAACAATCTCAATGATTTGCAATAAGTATGTCTTGGCATTTCGAATATTTTGGATACATAACGCTTTTTTCACTCTGAAGATTAAAGTATTTTGCCAAAATGTGTATAGATTTTATAAGCAAAATTATGTTGACATTGATTTTGATGAAATGGGAAATGTGTATATTTTAATAATAATATTTTCAGTTCTTTTCTTCTTTGGTTTTGATGGAAGATTCAACAAAATTGGACACTCCTGTGAAGAACGTCATTTCTTACCTTATTTCCTTTGTTTGGATCTATATCTGTTCTTTTCAATAACAACTGAACTATTTCGAGCTGTTTATCACTAACAGCTGAGTGTAAGGGAGTATCACCATTCTGTAAAAATACCATAATACTGAAATAAACGGCATGCAATGTTCGTATTTTCCAACAGAGGTATACAAAAATATTTCATACAAATGATTAGAGTACAAAAAAGCATTGGCCAACAATTCGAGATTAAAGCATATCAAAATCGTTTTTTTAAATTGCATTTTGATGAAACTGTACATATTAAGTATATAACTTGTGTACATACTCCATCCTTATAGTGATGAGTAATGAAATCCCTTTTAAATTGACAAAGATAGCCAGTTTTCCAGGCAAAAGTCGGTTGTTCTGGCTGTTTACTAAGCTTCCTCCACCAACACAAAACTGGTACCCATGGTATAACCAATATCACTGAACGTGGCATTAAACTCTATAAATCGCATGTTTGTTCAACTGTTAAATAAATGTGGTTTATGTTAGAAACTTGTGTACATAAAACATTGTCATGGTGATGTGTATTCGAATCGAATCTCATTTAAATTGACAGATTTCCAGTTTTCCAGAAAGTCGGTTGTTCTGTCTGTTTACTCCAGATTCTTCCACCAACAAAAACTGATCGCCTTGGTATAACCATTATAATTATATGTGGCGTTTAACTCAACAAACAAATACACGAACATTATCATGGTGAGTTGTATCACACTTATAGTATAACAAATGATCTCATTGCGGGCAGATTTCAATAGAGTGGTCTCACTCAAGGCAATTGAAATATGATATGATGTAGTTAAAGCTGTCAAAATAATATTGCAAAAACAAACAATATGCTAACATCTACGATATTTGTAACGTAGTGGAAATTTCTCTCATTGGCAATCATATCACATCTTATATTCATAAAGAGAAGAATATGTATTTACTTTAACATCATTTTTCTTTTTTAACTTGAATTTTGTTTCAAACATTATGTATAGTAAGAAAAAAAGGAAAGCGATACTTTTTAAATTTCAATGCGTCCGATGCGAATTTCTTGATTTTCCATCATCAAGAACGCTCAAAGCCGAATATTTGAAAGCCAATTATTGAACTGTATTTCCTTGTAATAATTGGACTATTGTCAGTTCTCCTTTTCTATTGTCAACAGCTATAATATGTATGTGTAAAACAAAGTCGCAGTCAAAAAATGAATAGAAATAAAATGATGTTTTAAGCTAATACAAACATACATTGGAATATTCGAACCTTGATGATATGCTGTAGTTCATTTTTTAAAGTAAAAGTACTTCACATATATAATTAATTTAGTACTATTAAATATAAAAAAACTTAGATAAGAAGGTTACATGTTTACTTTAGTACTATAATGACATACAAGGAAAGAATACAAAACTGCAATAGCCTAATAACGACATTTAAAAGTGTACACACTTCAATTAAGATAAAGAGTTATAAAACATCAGTTGTGACATTAATTCAGCTCCAAATCCATGGTGTTTGATTGTTTGTTTATTTGGTAGGTGAGTGTTGTTACGCAAGTGTCTCTGTAATATACACATCTTCTTTTATTCATATGTCATTGTATGGACATATAACTGTAAATGTCTTGGAAGATTAGAACTTACTATAATTAACATATGTTCATTCACGCGGCTTTCATTCATTAATTTTAAAGTTCAAAATTTGAACATGCAATATGGAGCCAATGCGTATGAACAGTTTCAATATTTTTTAAATGTCATAGATAAATTCAGTAATTGATTCAGATGAATTGTTCGAAAACAAATCTGCACTTTCTTCTATATACAATGCAACTTAAGTAGATTTTTCATGTTGATGTATATTGAAAAAGGTTGAGACAAATTCACCAAAATATATTTTATGTCAGGGTCATCTTCAAAACGTTTTCTAATCTTTTCTTAAATATCCAGTTTCAAACAACATTAAGGGGTAATTCTTAACATATTACCAAATAATAGATCAAAGCTGCAGCTTCGCAAATATGAGTATTTACCGCAAACAAGGAGAATGGTTACCGTTTTCTTTTCAAAACCAAATTATTTTGTCTTTCAAATACAAATTAATTGATATTTTCCAATGAAGAAAACAAACATTTAAAAGTTAGTATATGGTATTGTCGACAACAGTGAATATCGCTAAATAAAATTTGAATACAATTGAGAATGGAAACGGGGAATGTGTCAAAGAGACAAAAAAAAAACGACCAAAGAGCAATAAAACAGCCCAAGGTACCAATGGGTCTTCAACAAAAAATCCCCCACCCGGTGGTTACCTTCAGCTGGTCCTAAACAATATTGTATACTAATTCAGCGAAAATGGACGTCACACTAAACTCTGAAACATATACATGAACCAAAATAAAATAAAAAAAAACATACAAGGCGAACAAAGGCCAGAGGTTCCTGATTTGGAACAGGCGGAAAAATGAGGCGAGTTTACAATGTTTTGTGACATCTCAACCCTCCCCCTATACCTCTAGCCAATGTGGAATAAACAAACACACAGCAATACGCATAGTAAAACTTAGTCTGAGTCCGTTATTAGAATAGGTAACAGAGGAAACTAAGCAAAATGACAATAATCAAAAGGACTACTAGCAGTTACTGACATGCCAGCTCCAGACCTTAATTAAACTGATTTAACTGATTGAAAGATTATGTCTTCATGATATGAAAATCAAGCACAATCCCTCCCGTAAGGGGTCAATTCTCATTCCATTATAAAATATACGAGAAATACATAATCCGTATCATGCCAACAAGTGGTTTTAGAATAAATATGTTCATTTCCGATGAAAAGACCCTATGAGTGTCTCAATATTTATTAAAAATATGCCATCTGTAATGACCTGTCAACAGTATAGTAACTGATTTGGTCTGTTTAAAGGTTTTGGTTTGGGTTTGAGATGAATGACGACATGTTTGCGCTTTGTATAGAATATTACTATAAAAGATGGGATGTGAAATACCTGAACGTATAAGATGTCTGCACGTTGATTTATATTTACGAATGATTCCTTGTACCGATGATTTTAGTAAATGTTTTGACAAGTTGTGATATCGAAAACCCTGGTGTAATAATTTTTAAGTCAAACAGAGATTTATTTCGTTAAAATCAAATACATTATTACGTACACGACCGAATCGAACAAGCTGAGATATATAAACACCATTAGATGGTGCCAAGGAAACATCACCATCTAAAAATGGATAATTAATAATATGAAATGAAAAATCATCTCTTTTTATCGTAAATGTATTATTAAGCTTCCCGTGAGAGATACAGATGTCAAAATCATTAGTTCAATAGCTGATCGCAGTTCAACCTTTAAAAACGAGATTGTTGGGTATGGATTAGGATTGATGACTTTCAATATGTTGCACGTTGACTACTAAAAGAGTATGATTTTAAGTTCAGACAGGCACTTTCATAACAAAGCATCACATTTTAAGATGATACATATATATCACACGAAGGATTCTAATAGTCTTGCATTTACACTGAAGTTCTGGGGAAGCTGGATGTCTAAAAGTTTGTAGTTTGTTATTTTTATTCTCAAAATTACTGGCACTGACATTTCTGTTCATAGAAAATAATTAATACAGTTTCTATTTAGATGCTAAGAGTGTTATCACGGCTTACAACTTTCTAATAATGAAATATCAGTTTCGGGATCGTGGAATTAGCGAAAAGTCTAGGAGGGGGGGGGGGGGGGCGGCAAAATTTCAAGAAAATAATAATTTAATAATCAACACTACTTTCCTGAAAATAAAAATGATTTCAATTATATTATTAGCGTACCAATAATAGGCACCCCGATCCCCCTTGGAAGGTTATAGTGTGTACATGATGTTCAGTTTTTCTTAACTTCGGTATAGATTGAATGAAATAACAAAGATAAAAAAAAAATATAGAAAATCATTTGTTCAGAGAACAATTGAAAGTCTTTCTACCGCAAAAAGCACATATTTTAATCGAAAAATATGCACTGTCCGATTAAAATGTCAATTCTTGTGTCAGAAAATACATTTTAGCTTAATTTACGTTGTTTCTAAAAAAATATATGGTTTCTGTATATTTTTTCTAAAAAAAAAGGAGACAAGTAAGTACTTCCGGTTTACAAAATTATACATTCGGTTTTATGTAAACCTTTCTTTAAACTGATTTTAAAAATATAACGTTCTTGTTACTTTAACATGAATTTAATGCAATTTAGTAAAAGTTATTTGTCGCTACCTTCTACGGTTTCTTATGATAAGTGATAATAAGCAAAAAACAAAATATATAACATGACCTTGGCCTTTGACATTGACCTTATTTTCATTTTGATGGACCAAGGACCTCAAATCAAAAGACCCTGAGACATTGAGGATGGCGACAGGGCATGGCGTACTTGTTTGGACACTGCTAGTTTTTGGACTTTTATTACGTTTAAAACCACCTAAATCAGATATACTGACCAAATAATAGATGTAAACCTGAAGGCTTGGGATATTACGCATGTACAAATCTATCCTTTTTGACGAAATGTGACTTAATCCTGAAAAACTTTTGCCCTCACTCTGTCGCAGAACATAAAATGGCCGAGAAGAAGAATGCCATACAAGCAACAAAAGCAACAAATAACATTTTTACAATGCGGTTTTACCTTACTTATCCTCATGAGCGGTGATATTGCACAAAATCCAGGCCCAATAAAATATCCATGTGGGATATGCTGTAAACCAACAAAGAAAAATCAGCGAGCTATCAAATGTGAAGATTGTCTGTTCTGGCACCACATCAAATGTATTAACATGCCTATACGCGAATATAATGAACCTATCTAATAACATAAGAGAGAGTTGGTTCTGCAAATCATGTGTATCACCAACCTTTACGAATTCTTTTTTCGAGCTGTCAATCAACGAGGAAACAACTCATTTGAATTATTCCCCCTGTCATTCAAGCACGTTTTCCGGATCGACAGATGTAAACATTGGGATATCATTTGCAAATGACAACATACATGATAATGTTTTTGAAGAGCTAAAGAAAGTTCGGAGCGG